GTTTAAATGTGATGCAGGTCACCTAACTACAACAAGTGACATATATAGCTTCGGAGTAGTTCTACTAGAACTCCTAACCGGAAGGAGAGCAGTCGAGAAGTCCCGTTCTAAAAACGAGCAAAATCTAGTGGATTGGAACCTACCCGTATTTGCCCCGAACCCGTCGATAGCGGTGCATAATGGATCCAAGACTTGGGGGGCAATCCTCCGTGAAGGGTGCCAACGAACTTTGGGGCGCCCATTCTTGGGCGTTCGAACATTTAAAAAAAAAAAAAAAAAAAAAAAAAATTTTGCACTGGACGCCCAACCCGGGCACCCAAATGCAGCTTGCACGCCCAACTTGGGCGTGCACTGCATGAATGGGCGCCCAAGTTGGGCGTTTACGCGTTTTGGGGGGGTGTTTTTGGATTTTTTTGGAAAGTTTTGGAGTTTTAGTGAAATAGAGTGTTTTTTTTGGAGGGTTTTGTTAGAAACCGCAAATAGCAATTTTCAAACCGCAAAAAGCAATTCCGAGAGGAAAAAGAGTGACGCTTTTGTCCAACTCCGTGCTTACCTACACATGAAACACACACGTGCGTATCTGTATTTGCAGACTATACTTCCATTAATACTGAAAACGATCTTCTCCGAATTTCAGCTCCGTCGGTACTAAGACTTGTTACATTTAAGTTTCTTCATAGCCGTTTCAATCTGTTTTGCCGTTTCGGAAAAAATGGAAAAGAAAAGTTATGGCGATCGATTTGAAACCAACACCTCGGCCCCCCCACCCCCCACTACCTTTTTTTAAAAACAAACACTAAAATCCATTTTTTGTTTTTCAATATCAAAAAAAAATACACTCAACTGCTATATACACACTGCACTGTGTGTGTACGAGAGAGAGATAGAGAGAGAGGAGAGAGAGAGAGATCTAATTATGGGGAGTTACAGAGTGTGTATGTGCTTCACGCGGAAGTTCAGGGTGACGGAGGCGGAGCCGCCGGATGACGTGAAGGAGGCGTTCGGTAAGTACGCCGACGGTGGGACCCACATGACGGCGGATCATCTGCGGAGGTTCCTGGTCGAGGCTCAGGGCGAATCGGACGACGCCGCCGCCGCCGCGGCGGAGGACGTGTTGCAGCAGATCCTCCAGAAACGACACCACATTACCAAGTTTGCGCGCCACGCGCTAACCCTCGAAGATTTCCACCACTACCTCTTCTCCGCCGACCTTAATCCCCCAATCCACTATAAGGTACACTATCAGGAAACTAATTAATTAATATTTTTTTTCGAGATGGTTTAATTAGATATTTCTTTCAATAGAATTTTCTGGTTTGGTTTCTTCTATTTCTAATTTTTGATGGAAAAAAAAGAAATGGTCATATTTTTGCTTTATTGAATCCACACAAGATAAAGTCGGAAAAAAAAAAGGTGACTGAATCCCGTAAGGGATGGCTTAGCGGTTGGAGCAAGTGAACATGTGATCGAATCCTCCTGCCAACAGTTGCTAGGTGGAACTTGTAACATATGGTTAGTCCAGTGTGGTTTATGTCTCTCGTATGGTTTACAAGCTATTATAAGAGAGTGTAGGTTTACCCTGTGCACCTGTACAGTTTGCTGCGAGTGACTGAACACTGAATTGTTTGGGGATCGTGAAACAATTTCTCTGTCTTTTTGTGATGAAGACACTAATTGTGTGTGTGTGTGTGTGTGTGTGTGTAAATCGTGGTAATATGCTATGCCGTGAAACATTTACGAGAACAACATGTTCAAATCAGTAAAGCTAATCGAGTGTAGTGTGGTTACAGGTTCACCAAGATATGGAAGCTCCGTTGTCTCATTATTACATATTCACGGGGCATAACTCTTACCTGACCGGAAATCAGCTTACAAGCGACTGCAGCGATGTACCGGTTATAAAGGCACTGAAGAAGGGAGTGAGGGTAATAGAGCTCGATATCTGGCCTAATTCTACAAAGGACGATGTGCATGTTCTTCATGGAAGGTACACGAAATTTATCAACGTTTTAATTGAATTCTAGTCTCTTCTTCGATTATAATGAATTCATGTATCACAAATGAATGATCTGAAATCTACTGAGTGGTGAGGGGCTTTTATGAATTGAATGAAGGCGTAACTACACATGGTACAAACTCGGTTCGGGTTTTCTATTGAGCTTGATAAATATCATGAATTTGCTGACGACTCGTTGAGCATGAATAAGTTTTAGGTGAGGCGAACGGGATTTGAGCTATAATAGTATTTGTGACGTTTCGCATTTGCTTATTGTTTATTATTACGGTAATCAATTGACGTAGGTTTTTATAATTAAGTAATGAGCAACAAGTTGAGCTCAAACAAGTTTTTGTGGCTCAATCTTGATTAACTAGAGTTCGTTTTGGGACCTATGTACGAGTCAATCCTGAATGCCAGAACAAGTTAGTAGCGATGAACACAGAAGTTATAAATATGGAGCCACTTGATGAAGGTGTTTCCTCTGGCTTGGGTTTCGGCTATAGCAACTTGATTTTTAGAGATTTCATATTCGAGACTTTGATACAGTGTAGGTTTACACAAACTAAGAAATTGAGGGCCGTTGTTATTTTGCAAGTTGCACTTAGCACAGTACATAATGTCTGTTTAGCAATTTACAGGTACACAGGGGTTCAGAGATCTCGTGTTTGCCCGTTATAAATCCAAATACAATTGCATTTGTAGCTGTCAAGTCAATTTCTTCTGCTTAACATTGAAATTTCATCAGCTATTTATGCATAACTAGGACGATTGAGCAAAAACGAAAGAAAATTATGTTTCAAACGGTAGAATGTTATAGACGAAACGATGCACAAAACTAGCTGAAATTTCCCCACTGTATTGTCCCTAGTAAACTTGTAATTTACTTTCGAATTGTGTCATTCTTCTGAAGTTAGTTGCCTGGTGGTAGAGTGTTTGTAATAAACTTGCTTCCACATTCATTTCATGTAAGAAGAACAAAACAAAATCGGCCTACGTATAGAGATTCGCCCTTTTTCGTTCATTTGAATCACTATTCAAACAAAATGCTGGCTCATTGATTTTGTTCGACTTTTGTATCACTCATTAACACAGAACTGTGACAACACCAGTGGAACTCATAAGATGCTTAAAATCAATAAAGGAGCACGCCTTTTCCGCTTCTCCGTACCCTGTCATAATAACACTCGAAGATCACCTAAACTCCGGCCTACAAGCTAAAGTCGCTCAGGTAATTTCATTATACGACTCTGCTCTATCTTTTTTTTTTTATATAAATTAAAATTATTCACATTTGTATTCTTTATTATAGATGCTCTCCCAAGTATTTGGCAAGATGCTTTTCTACCCCGAATCGGATTGCTTAAAAGAATTTCCTTCACCGGAAGAGTTGAAATACCGCGTAATTATTTCCACAAAACCTCCAAGGGAGTACCTCGAAGCCCAGTCAATTAAGGATACCGAGAATATTCATATAAAGCGGAAAGACTTCAATGAAGATGTGTGGGGAAACGAGCCTTCAAGCCTTACTGCTGATCAAGACGACGAAGATACAACGGTACGGTATAAATGAAATGAAATGAAATGAACTTCTTCTGTATTATAAACACCTCTGTTTTTTGCGTGGTAAATCTCTCGTTTATCGTTTTTTTGCAGTCGGATAATGAGCTTACGGATCTGAACGAAAACAATGAAGAAGATTCTGATACTGAAGCACCTGAATACAAACGACTTATAGCTATTCATGCGGGAAAACCGAAAGGCGGGATTATGGAAGCTCTTAAAGTAGAACCAGATAAAGTGAGGCGATTAAGTCTTAGTGAGCAAGCTCTTGAAAAGGCTGCTCAATCTCACGGAACACACATTGTCAGGTATCTTTCTCTAATTAGTTTTTTTTTTTTAAATATATATTTCTTTTTACGGGGTATTTTTAATGAATGAAAAATTGTTTCAATAGGTTCACACAGAAGAATATTCTTAGAGTATATCCTAAGGGAACTCGGTTTAACTCGTCAAACTACAAGCCGCAAGTTGGTTGGTTGCACGGAGCCCAAATGGTTGCATTCAATATGCAGGTTTGAAAAAAAATCTCGAATTTCAGATTCAACAGCAGAGTGTGTTTTTTGAACTTTTAGTGTAAATCATGTAATCCCATTTCTCTGGTTTTCGAGTAACGTTACTTGGCGGTGGTGGAAATGATAGGGTTACGGTAGATATCTGTGGTTGATGCAAGGAATGTTCAGATCAAACGGAGGCTGCGGTTATGTGAAGAAGCCCGATTTTCTTATGAACATTGATTCAAATAACAAAGTCTTCGATCCTAAAACGAAGTCACTAGTCAAAAAAACTCTAAAGGTAAATAACCGTGTCAACAAAAGGCTTTTGATCATGTGTACTTTCAAATATTGTATTTCTCATCTAAAAATCACTAATTGTATTATAGGTTAAAGTATACATGGGCGACGGATGGCATATGGCTTTTAAGCAAACTCACTTCGATTCATATTCACCGCCCGATTTCTACACGAGGGTAAGTTTGATTGAATTACTTTTGTACCCCAAAGATGTAATAAATGTTATTTAAAAAGATCTAAAAATCACAATTAATTTTTTTTTTTCGTGGAATACAGGTTGGCATAGCTGGTGCACCGGCAGATGAAATAATGAAAAAGACGAAGAAAAAAGAGGATGATTGGACTCCTGTTTGGGGTGAAGAGTTTACATTCCCATTGACTGTGCCTGAGTTGGCTTTATTACGAATTGAAGTGCACGAGTATGATATGTCCGAAAAGGATGATTTTGCAGGCCAAACATGCCTTCCCGTTTCGGAGTTGAAGTCGGGAATACGTGCGGTTCCTCTTTTTGACCGTAAAGGAGAGAAGCTGAATTCTGTTAGGCTTCTTATGCGGTTCGAGATTTTATGAATATATAATATTGTATTCTTGCTGTTTTAGTAATTATGGTTGTGATGGAGAGGCTTTGTGATTTGTTCTTGCAGGCTTTCTTTGGGAGAACGAGTGTTTTTTTTTTTCTTTCCATTTTTCTTTCTTGCATTTAAATCCTGGTTTTGGGTTTGGTGCTTTGTTTATATAATATACAGAAAATTAAATGCAGGTTATTTATGAGTAAAATGAAGTGTTGTCCAGTTTTTGATTGTTTGGTTATCTTGTTAATGTATGGTATATGAGATGCTACATCTGGTGAAAAACATGGGGTGATTTTGCACCATAGATCTGTATAATAACTATCCATTCGGCATTCAGTAAACGTACACATGAATCTATACTTTTGCGAATATTTATTTAAAAGTTTCATCAATTTTCACCCACAATTCCATACTATTTTTCAACTAGGAGGGTGTCAATTGCACTATTTTTAGATGATATAGAATTTAATTATTTTTCTGGTTAGCTTATTTTAAATATTGTACGGATGATATTTCTCCCTTCTTCTCCATCAAATTTTACATGGGTATTTTATAGTAATACATAAAACTGTAGTTCAAATTTTAAATAACAATATATTTTTTTTTTGCATCACACGAGTTGAGCTACTAGCATGTATCATGTTTTAGTCAATATAATTGAAATTCATCACAAATATGCGCGAGTCTATCTCTGAGGTTCTTCATTGGAAACTTTGTCTTTCTATGAGAAAGTAACAATCTAGATGGAAAGCCCCTTCATGAGAGGAGGTTAAAATAAAAATCGATGCATAATTATACTCGGCTGAACATGGTTGTGATTTAGGAGGTATACCGAGGTCTGCTGATGGTAGTTGTCTTGGTTTGTTCTCTAATGGATGCTCTCGTCTCCTAGAAACAACTTCGCCGGTGGTTGTGTCAGCTTATGAAGCATTAGAGTTTACTCGGGACCACGATTGAAATCAACTTGTATTGGAAGGTGATTCAAACACAATTGTTGCCTCTATAGTGGGAGAGATGGGCTCACGAACGAATTAGCACAAATTTTTGAATCTTTTAATTTTTGTCAAACCGAGCAGCTCATGAAATTGCTAGACTTTCGTATGAACGAGAATTTTATTTAAAGTCTTGTCGAATTTTATTCTCCAAGTTATACACATTAATTCTTTGCGGTAATGAAATCTCCAAATATTTGCTCTCAAAAAACAAAAACAAAAACAAAAAAACAAAAATTGAAATTAAAACATGAGTATCAAAGTTAAATATGACATTGGTATTAATATCGTGTCCCTATTCGAATAATTCTCAATCTTTTTAATCAAATTATTATCACTCCAATCCTTATTATATAATTCAAAGCCATAATCCAAAAATCCAGTAAATTTAATTTATTAATCAACTATATTAAATATTATAATACAAAAACTCATTATGTTAATAGGGAATTTCTTTTTTCGTTTTTCGGTCAAAAATTACATCAAAATGACTACGTGTCAACCCTCCATTGGCCATCATAGAAAAAAAAAAAAGCAACAAAAACAAACCCCAAACCCTTTTCAAGATCGAAACTTTCAGCAAAATAATAATTATTCATCAGTCGAAGAAACGAAAATGGCGACAATAACCAGACTGCATCTCCTTTTCATTCTCTCTCTCTTCCTTCTATCCATAGTTCCCAATCAGGTTTCTTCTTCTCATCTAATTATTATCCTCGTTTGTTATTTCATTCGATTTAATTTCACAAATAATCAATTTTGTTTTTTTTTATTTTTTTGGGTAATGTTGTGAGCATGATGAACCTGCAAATAGGAAAAAAAAAATTTGAAATTTCACCTTCCGAATTGTCGTATTTCTTATTTCTGATCCGATAATTACAGATCTTTAGGCCTCGTTTGGTTTGGGGAGATTAGCCTTGATTAACTAAATAATCGGACTTTGTTTGATGTTTGGTATCCCAATAACTTGTCGTGTCGACCGGCGAATATTATGTTATCACGACTTGACATATTTTTTTTATTGGACCTTCCAATCGAATTTCATTAAATTATTTTTGGTTAATCTTATTTTGGCAACCAAACGAGGTCTTAATTTATTATTTTACATTTTCGCGTTTTGATCTGTGAATTGTGATGTAAAATTTGATAGCCTGCCTCTCCTTCAGCATAGATGGTTTATTGAATTTTTCGTGTTTAATAAAGGACCATTGTTATTCCTTCTCCTGCTGCAGGCGAAAAAATCAAAGGAAAACTTAAAAGAAGTGACTCACAAAGTCTTCTTTGATGTCGAGATTGATGGAAAACCTGCTGGTAATATTTTAACACAACCTGAAATCCGAGTGGGAGTGATCATGATTTCGTTATTTCAATCTCTCGACAATTATTATACATTTTTATCTCATCGCCTCTGCCCTCTTAGATAATTGTTTTAATTTTTCTTTTCATTTCACTTAACACGGGAATATGTCTATTTTAGGTCGCATTACGATGGGTCTATTTGGAAAAACCGTTCCTAAGACAGCTGGTATGAATGGTATACAATCCACACATCTCTTTTAAACCACTAACTTTTTTATAACTGATTTTCTTGCAGAAAATTTTAGAGCTCTGTGCTTTAGAGCTCTGTGCACAGGTATAGAACTTTTTCCCGTGTTTCTTTTTTAAACCACCATTCCGTGTTTGAATTACACAATAATAATTGTACGTAAATATAGGGGAGCATGGAATCGGAGGGCAAGGAAAACCTCTGCATTACAAGGGTAGCAAATTCCACAGGATTATACCGAGCTTCATGATCCAAGGGGGTGACTTTACTCTAGGTGATGGAAGAGGCGGAGAATCTGTTTACGGGGAGAAATTTGCCGATGAAAATTTCAAGATCAAGCACACAGGACCTGGTACGTCAATAATGGCAATGCGTATTTTCTTTATATGACGAAAAATAAAACGAAAATTGTAAAAATAAAGGAGAAGTAGGAGAACATTTTTCTGTTCATCGAAGCTAATTAAGTTTTAAAGTTTAAATTTAACCGACTATTAAAACTGAGTTGCTATTTTTGTCAACGACCTGCGTGTCTAATTTTCAGGGCTTCTGTCGATGGCAAATTCTGGTCCCGACACAAACGGTTCCCAATTCTTCATCACAACTGTGACAACCAGCTGGTAAATTTTAAATATCGATGAATTTTTTATTCAAGAACCGAAGTTGGTTTGTTGCTTCATAAAAAGACGATATCAATGAACTTGTACCATATCGTTTTTTTTTTTTTTAAACGAGATTTGTTGTTGATGATGTATGTACAGGTTGGATGGGCGTCATGTCGTATTCGGGAAGGTATTGTCTGGAATGGATGTGGTGTATAAGATGGAAGCCGAAGGGACACAGAACGGAACACCGAAATCCAAAGTTGTCATTTCTGACAGTGGCGAACTCCCCTTGTAATCCGCCTCAGCGCATTATTACATGTTCTTCAGTAATCTCTCTTTTTTTCTTGATTACCATAACTAGGATGAGATTTTTAATTATAAACTGACATTACGTCGCCAAATTCAACAGTCGAGAATCGTGTCGCAAATTTGACATTGACGTGTTTTTTTTTTTAAATATAAGAACTCATTTGGTTTGATTGGTATGAAGGAATAGTGTAGTAATGGGATGGCAAGATACTGTTAGAAAATTTTATCGTACATACATACGAATTCCCAAGAACCAACATGTTTGAATCAACGACAATTATACAGAAACATAAACACGGAAGCGTACCTTACATAACGGAATCGAATCTTCGAATCTCCACTGGATTTGGGACAGGTCTTCCAAAGAATCCGCAGTTCCTTAATTATCTCTCTAACGATGGATTTTAGAAGAGACGGAATGGTTGCGTTTCTTTGGGGACCACGACCCTATATATAACTGTAGAGTCCAGTTATATTATAATTGTGATTCAGCCCCATCAATAAATCACAATTAAGCCCTAATTGTCTCTACACATTAGGCCCATAATCATAGTATAATACCCATAAGTCCAACCCATTAATCTTTATTAGATCACAATTAATTTGGACTTTCTTTTAGATAGCCATACACATTTACGTTACATATGTGAGCCCACATAATTATTGAAATAATTCCAACAATCTCCCACTTGGGCCACATATGCTATATACCTTATAAATGTGTACACCTTATGAGCTCAAAATTGCTATCATATAAAAGGTATTCCTTACAATCTCGTCCATTGTCCATACTAATATAGGACTAAAGAGGCTTTCGTCACATTGATCGTGTCTAAACCCAACAGTAATCACGTATACCAATATAGCCAAACGACATAGATCAAATTATGGTGTGTAGCATGGAAATTACATGTAATGTGATCTTAACATGCCTATTTCCAACTGGTCCTATTTTAAACTTTATTGAGACCAAACCTTAACATAATTGTACAAAGCGCAACCAAATACTTTATTTCAGCAGAAAACTTAATACACAACTTTGTGTCCAAACATATCATAGAGCTACCAAAATGTGTTTATATATACACACACGTACAAACTCCCACTGAACCATAATATCCTTAAATGATATAACGCCTATATGAGCAATGCTCATGAATACCTTATGCGTTAATCCTTTAGTAAGCGGATCCGCAATTGTGGAGTTTATCTTAATATGCTCTATGTACTGTTCACTTTGTACCTTTAATAACAAAAACTTTCACAAGCTCTTGTTGTTGTTCGAAAGTATAGCTGTTAAATATTGTCACCGTATAACTTTAATACAAATCAACATGTGCAGCCTAATGACAAATGTTTATAGCTATATTTAAAAATAAGATGCCAAAAAAATTTACCATAAATTCTTAACCATCGTGAAAAGAGCTTAAACTGTTTGCTTAACACTCATGTCGAAATAGCTCAATCACTTAGGTCTACATTAACCAAAATGGATCTATACTTTATACACATCATAAAAATCAAAATCATGAATAAACCACACGATCTCCCAAAATATATGATTTTGATAAATGAGCATATGTATATAACTTACATTCCCTATAGTTACTGTATAACCCATTTGGCTGCTTTGCTAAATGATCCACTTTATAGGGTTATTCAAATATCTGCCTAACTTTATGCACACCTTAACCGAATGCGTACATTCTTTTACTTCAAATATTTATCGGGCGAATTGAGACTAAACAAGTCTCCTTTGTTGTGAGATTATCTCCCACTGATCCTTGGGTATATACAATCATTAACGTTATTTATCTACAAGTGCATATGAGATAATTAACTTAGGATTATAACATCATTAACGGGAATTTTTATTTCATTAATGGACTACTTTAGTTCACAATCAATATCCTTCA